AATCTATTTAATCAGTTTTATTCTGACAGTCAACACAGAAATCCAAGCTCTTATTTGTGAATTAACTTTGAAACACTTTTCATGTGATATAAATAAAAACAAGTTACGATGAATTAAACTTCGAACATGGTATAAATAGAAAGTAAGATTACTAGTTTACGTTAGCAACAAAATTATGAATTCTTGCTAGTTTACGTTAGCAACAAAATTATGAATTCTTGCTAATTTACGTTAGCAACAAAATTATGAATTCTTGTAAAAAAGAAATATATTATCATTAAAACATGTTTGTTTGTTTGTTGTTAAACACAAAGCTACACGATGGCTTATCTGTGCTTTGCCCACCAAGGAAGGGTATCGAAACCCGGTGCCTAGCGTTGTAAGTCCGCAAAAATACCGCTATGCCACTGGGGGGGGGGAGTATTAAAAAATAAATACAAATAAGGCTATTGTACAGTTAAGAAGTTGAATTTTAAGAAGAGTTAAGAGTAAGAATTCAAAATGAGATATTAAATCTGATGAATACCGAATTTAAAACACAGTACTGTTTGGTTCGATATTTCTTTCTCTGTGTTAACTGTTAAAGTTAAATGATGCAATCGTTCTTCTGTGAAATTCTATAATAGTATGAATGTTCTATTTAAAAAAAAAACAGATCTTGTACACGTTTAGACACTGAAGAAGAATAGATAAAGCAATGTCTCTCAGTTCTATCTAAAGACCGGTTTCGTCAGGAACCGCCATACTTTGCAGTAATACGTTTCTTATTATTTTTTCGTATACAGAACCGCTTAAATAATGACAGTTGCTCTGGTATAACCAACAGCGAGTGTATGTTTTGTACAGTTTTACAGTCGGGAAACGGTTTTACTAATGCTTGTTTTAATGTATATAACTGAAATCCCATGTTACAAAAATATAAAGACTTCTTTAATGAACTAAGAAACCACATACTGCTCTTCTCCGATATTGTTTATTAAAAATATAAAGACTTCTTTAATGAACTAAGAAACCACATACCGCTCTTCTCCGATATTGTTTATTAAAAATATAAAGACTTCTTTAATGAACTAAGAAACCACATACCGCTCTTCTCCGATATTGTTTATTAAACATATAAAGACTTCTTTAATGAACTAAGAAACCATATACCGCTCTTCTCCGATATTGTTTATTAAAAATATAAAGACTTCTTTAATGAACTAAAAAACCACATACCGCTCTTCTCCGATATTGTTTATTTCTTGCTGCGCCTATCAAAAAAATTACATTTATCATTCTAGAAGATCGTTGTATTCCTTACAGTTGAACAAACTATTGTATATATAAAGGGAAAACAGTTGTTTATCGATGTGAGCGAAACAAAAGTTGCTTTGTTTGTTCAAATACTTATAAAAAATATTCAATTATTCTACAGGATTATAAGGATTTAAGAGTTATTATAGTTTTTTTTTCTTCATCGAAGCGGAAAATAATCATTAGACTTTGGTGATGAAACCAATTCCTTATATGTGGACATCCAGTAGGCTTATTAACTAGGTTAGGTAATTATGGAGAAATATAACCGTCAGTTAGGTACATGTTTGGAGATTACTTGGCAGAGAAAAATATATACATATATTTAAACCCTTTCTTTAACGAATGTAAAATAAAATTTAATGAAAGTTCCCGGGATGTAAGGGTTATTTGCCACATTTAGGGGGAAAAAAATTCTGTTGTGAAATTGATATACGGAATTCAAACTTTCTGTCATGACGTCTGCGTTTATTTACATTTGTACACGTGGGTAATGTAAGAAAGTTATATATAAAAACGTTGCATACATCCAGAGGTGCCGGAGTTTTTCAGGTGTCCCCACTAAGCCTTGTTAATTAATACGTGATCGAGAAAGATCGCACGTGGAAGTCATGCGTATTGAGATAGTTGAATAACATTGTAAAATGGAAGATAAAGAAGTGGAGTTCATATATTATATTTGTTCTCTCTCTTTTTTTTTCTTCACAATATCAGTATGTAAGTGTTAAGTTTTCCTTTTGTTCTTATCTTGAACTGAAGAGGTCCGATTAATAATACTTGTCTTTGAGCAAGTTCCTATTTCTCCAGTTTTCTCCTACTTCATCGAACCTCTTTCTTTATG